GTGCGTTCGGCGCATGCCCGCAGAGGGTATTGAAGACGCCTAATCCTTTATCCTTTTATCCTTTAATGTAGCGTAGCCAGAAAAAGAGTATAAAGAGTGAAGAGTAATCTTTGGTGAATGCCTACCACTGGATTACAACATTTACCTGGTAGTCATTCTATGCATCTGTTCTCTCAGGATATTATGGATTTAATTTATCAAATGTTGACGGAAGTTATTAAAATTCATGAGCAGCAAAAAAAAACAACACGTCTTCTCATTGCAGAGCTTTTCTATACAATGCATCATAATAGACCTTAACAACAAATACAAGAACAACTTTCATTCACGCCAATTTGGTGATTGAAATTTGAATAAAGGTGATTTTTGCATCATGACAAAAATGATGGCGACAGAACATTAATAGCTAAAGCTGATTCGGTGAAAACTGCAGGAGAAGCCACTGACGGTGACAGAATTGCTCCGGAAAGTATAGTAGGAGACAAGACATCAGGGCAAAGAACATATGGAGATAGAATCAAAGGCGACAACACATAAGGATTAATTACATTTGGTGACAAAACATATGGAGAAAGAATGTAAGTGTTAAATACTGCGGCAGAGATGGTGTTTGGGCCAAGAACATAGGGAGAGAGGATGAGCGGGTTTCCCACCTGGAAAATACCGTAATTTTGAGAATTGAATATAGCGGGGAATGCCTGACCTGCGGTGAAATGATTGGCGGGCTTAGCAGCAGCGGTGAGATTATATTTGGTGAGAATAGACTAGGTGATAGTGTTACCGGCCCCAAAACATTCAGCTGTAAAAATTCACGTTTTTCAAATTTTGAATTTTCAGTGGCTTACCGTATTGACTGTTGGAGCAAAAGCGTACGGTGATAGTGTTACGTGATTGAAGTATCGGACATCGATAGTTCGTTTGAATCGTCGATGCAGAACTTGAGGATCATCAGCCAAGATGCGTACGGTAGTTCTCAGCGATTCTTCTCGTTGGACTTGATTCAATCCAGCATACTCATCAAGATCAAATGGGAGGTCGGCGATGGTGGTGTTTAGAACTCCTAAGGAATTGAAGTAAAGCCGTTAGATAAAAAGGAGGGTAGAAGCTTGAACTTAGCCCCTCAAAAAAGAATTTTGCATTCTGCAACCGAGTACATTAGGTATTTTAGAACTTATTTGAATTAATACATAAAAGCTCGTTCGCAAAATTATAGAAAGATTGTGACATTGCT